ATGGGCAGCGAGAGAGCCTGTCTTTATCTCTCTGTCTCTCCATGTGCAAATCCTGCGGATGGTGTTGTCCATTTCGGAATTCGCAATGTGACCCAGTAATAAAACTGCGCAAAAGAAATATAAGAAAAAATTGTTCGTGTCGGCGAGAGGAAGAGTGACGAAAAATGTGAAAGATTCGACGAATGTGGAGGACAATTTATGGATACAAAACCGAACGCCGAGCAAACTGCACGACGCGACTTACGCGGGAAAACGAATAAACAAACCGAACGCAATAAAAATTAACTCAGCGAGAAGAAAGTCCATGTGCAATCCAGAAGAGACACGTTTCATGAGAAACCATGTTCTCGTGCTCGACAAGATACGACTAAAATCCTTATATCGCAGTTCGTGAGAGAGACAACAAATTGACGACAAGCGAGTAACACTTCAAGAAAACATCTGAAGTGACGACACAATCTCGAAGGGCGTGTCACAACATTCTCGGGCTACATTCGCGGGTCCCGTTTCGTTGGTGACCACTCGCCCCGATCAGATGGCACACTCGCATGTCCACGTGTCAGCTCCTGAACATGCGTGGCCACGCTGATGGATGTGGGACTCAATTCGACAACATTCTGTTGTTGCATAGAGCACCGCTTCTATCAGCGTGGCCATGCTTGTTCAGGACGTGACACGTGGACGTCTGAGTGTGCCGTCTGATCGGGGCGAGTGATCGCCAATGAAACGCATGCATTCTTGTTCCCGAAACTCCTTCATCTTGCCCTGATCAGATGGCACACTCAGACGTCCACATGTCAAGTCCTGAACATGCGTGGCCCCGCTGATCGGGGCGAGTGGTCGCGAATGGAACGAGATCCGCAAACGCACCCTGAGGTAAGTTCGGGAAAGAAACAGGCAAGCACATACGACGAACGAAATAGAGGCGCTGAAGACAAACTAACGACGGGGACGAAGATGGTAGTTGAACACGACAGCACACATGTCCACATGTCAAGTCCTGATCATGTGTGGCCATGTTGATGGGTGTGGGGTTCAATTCGACAACATTCTATTGCCGCATAGAGCCCCGCA